ATTTGTAGCATAGGAGTCCGTTATTGCTTCTGTATTATCATCACTCGATCCTGATACCATTCCGTCCCCTGTGACACCATTCTCATTTGTAGCTTGAATATCTAATGTTGCTGCTGTATTATCATTGCTTGCTTCAGAAGGCTGTGCTTCGGTTATGCCATCATTTGCATTTGTAGCATAGGAGTCCGTTATTGCTTCTGTATTATCATCACTCGATCCTGATACCATTCCGTCACCTGTGACATCATTCTCATTTGTAGATTGAATATGTAATGTTGCTGCTGTATTATCATTGCTTGCTTCTGAAGGCTGTGTTTCGGTTATGCCATCATTCGCATTTGTAGCATAGGAGTCTGTTATTACTTCTGTATTATCATCACTCGATCTTGATGACATTTCGTCGACTGTGACAACATTTATATTTGTAGCATATGTATCTGAGGTTGCTGCCGTATTATCATTGCTTGCTTCTGAAGGCTGTACTTCAGTTATGCCATCATTCATATATGTAGCATAGGAGTTTGTTATTTCTTCCGTATAATAGTTACTCGATCCAGATACCATTTCGTCGACTGTGACAACATTCTCATTTGTAGCATGTGTATTTACTGTTTCTGCTATATTATCATCGCTTGCTTCTGATGGATGTATATCGGTCATACCACCATTTTCATTTGTAACTGTATTTTCATAACTTGATCCTGATGACATTTCGTCAACTGTGGCACTATTTATATTTGAAGCAAATGTATCAGGGGTTGCTGCTGTGTTATCATTGCTTGATTCTGATGGATGTACGTCGGATATTTCACCATTATCGTTAATTATAGTATGGGAATCTGTAATTGCCTCAGTATTATCGTTACTTGAATCCGTACTTGATCCTGATGCCATTTCGTCGACAGTGAAAACATTCACCTCTGTAGCATGTACATCAGTTGTTTCTGCTGTATTATCGTTACTTGGTTCTGATGGTTGTACATCTGGTGTGGCACCATCTACAGCTGTGGCACCGTTTTCATTTGTAGCATGGACATCAGTTATTGTTGCTGCATTATCATCACTTGTTTCTGATGGTTGTACTTCCGTTACGGTTGATTGTCTGTCAGAAGTGATAGTTGTATCAGCCGTAGTAAAGTTCTGCGGCGTCGTTAAGTTTGTTTCCCCTGTAACAGGTAAGTCCATAGTTGAATTAAGGGTAATTATGTGTAGTTTTTCAGTTATGTTCCAAAACCACGGATCTTCAGTTGAGTTTAACATCGAACTATCTTCAGTTTTGATAGTTCCATTTGTAATATCAGAGCCGGAATTTCGACGTAGTCGAATTACACGTGAGAACATCTTTCTGTTTAATTGTTCAGTAGGTATAGAAATTTCATCTTTTGTGTTATCTCTATCCATGTCTGCGTATTCTGTAAAATGCAAAACAAAAATCCCTATGCTTATTAAATCATGCAATTGGTTATTTTTAGACTTACATCACTTGCAACCTACCTCGTTTAATACAGAAAAATAACATTATTATCAATCTAAATATAAGTTATTTATTAACGGCTACACTTCTACGTTTTTCTTTACTTGTGTCTTAACATTTTATATGCTATTTATTTATATTAATATTCACCCATTATGTACCTTATTTAACGGTTTTGATATCTTTTACTTTACGTTGTACTAGGCCTAGGCGTATGCCAGTTTAGTGTAACAAGCTTTCAGTTGTTTCATCATTGATTGATATGATTGTATTCTGTGTATTTTGTGTATGCACCATCACTGTGATGCATGCGGCGGTTTCGAAAGCGATTTCTAAATAAATATAATAATAATAATAATAATAATAATAATAATAATAATAATTATTATTATTATTATTATTATTATTATTATTATTATTATTATTATTATTATTATTATTATTATCATCATCATCATCATTATTATTATCATCATCATCATTATTATTATTTTGTTGTTTTTGTTATTATAGTGAATATTGCTATGACCGTATCTAAAGCAAAAATAAACTCACTTGAGCAAACGATGAGTTCTAATCTCAATGTACAATCATTTTGACAAGCAATTGCATTCAGCCTCATATAGCGCCCTCTAACAGATGAGGAAAACATATTTATAACATATTCGTCTTCACCCAATGAGTTTGCAGAAAATATCTAGGATAAAAAGAAGGTCTAGAATTATTACAAAGTCGAAAAGCAAATGTTTTTTTATTAGTCATGTCCATGTAAAACATCCTTGGTTGAGTTATCTAATGTTCACAGTTACATCAGCATTAGGCCTACTTACAGTAGGTCCGCATAAAGACAAATAGTGGCTATTTATCAGTTTTATTTAAAACTATTTCAATACAAATATTGTACAAAGAATATTCAATTCTATCTACAGATAAAAAAAAAACAGTGCTAATATTATGATAACATTAATTTTTAAAAAATATTTAAAACAATTTGAAAATAATGATACATGGCACTCGGAAAGGTTTATGAAAGAAAAAAGAATTATGGAAAAAGATGTTGGAGACAAGATTAGTAAATTAAAAAAAAACGATTATTCAATTCAATTAAAATTTAATTTTAGGAAAAATATAACAAAAACATGATGCTGCCTTCCAAGGATTGCCAAAAAAAGTTTAGAAACCATCAAGTCTCCTAACAGCGTCATTAAAAATTAAATAGCATGCAATAATTTATATAACATTTTAAAATAAAAATATAATAAAAATAAAAATAAATAAATAAATAAATTATGGGACGCCAATTAAATTGTCTATGGCACGAGCAAAGGATTACATTTCACAGAATTCAATAGCACAAATTTAAAGCCTGGAATATTCTTATTATTATGAAACACGCACAAGATAATATACGTGCAAGATAATATGATAGTCCTATAATTAGTGAGGCTTCCTCCTTGTATCTTTCCGTTTTAGTCTTACCTTGTTACCATTCACGTTCTTGGCTTCTTCAACTCTCTTATCTTCTGTTATGCATTGAATACTAAATTTACTAATCCAAGAGGCAGATGCACTCCCACCCTGAGTAATTACACCAAAAACAGACACATCTAAGACTAAGTCAATCTGAATCCACGGGTATTCGTCGTCACTCCCTCTCATCCAGAAGCTAGGTCCATTCAGGAGCACTTTACTTGGTCCCGTTTCCTCTGAAGCTTGCGAGGATGATGTGAATTTAATGTTTTCTATTCTATTTTCAGCAATGAAACCAGCATATTTACTGCAAACACCTAATTTCAAAATGTTCAATGGTCAGTGTACATAAGCTATTGAAGTTTAATTGAAAGACCAAAAAAGCTTTCCTATGATCGTTGGAACTATTTATATTTGACAAGTTTTCTTTTAAATTCATCCCACCTAAAATTATTATCATTATTAACATCATTATTATCATCATATGGCCAATTGGTAGAAGCCAGAGCCATGGGTAAATTCATTAAAATTCATCTTTGAGTAGTTATAAGAAATTCCAACTGGTCTAGTTGACTTACAGTGATTTTTGCAATACTTTTTAATAATTAAATTTTAATTTAACGTAAGGATTTTGTTTAAATCATCTAACCACTCGACGCGACTGTTTAAATTTATTATTAAAAGGTATTGTAAGAATCTTTGTTTTTAACAATTTAAACAAATGCCAAAAGAAACTTGTCTAAACTGGTAGGCCTACTTTTTTTCTGTACAATGATTGGGCCGATGAGCAATCTAGCTATTAAAATAGAAATCAGTGGTCATAATGCACACGGGACCAACACCTTAAACGTCTCATCCCATCCGAAAAACGGTGCGCTATCGTAACTTGCATTTCAGCTCTCCAGCTGAAATACAAGGAAAGCAGCGATGTGAATTGAGCCGGGTACCTCCATGGATCTCCATGGTTCAGCTCACATACAGTTGCTACCACGAGTTTAGCCGACTGAGCTAGCTGTGGTCACAGTGTTTTTAAAATTTATGGTCATGGTTTGACTAGTTCCACTGTTTTCTATTGACAATATTATTTGCGGTAGGTCTATGTTGACGACACTGAGCGAAAACGCTAAAACTGGCAAAACACAATAAATAAGGTATAATTATTTGTTTCGTAGTTCAGACAACTAATATCGAATTTTATTTCAATGCTTATTTGAAAGACGTTAACCTGGTTTAAACGTTATAAATACGGTAGAAGTAATGATCATTAAGTGGAGGTAGACAGGCAGTATTCCTATCCGGTAATGGGTTACTCATTAGCAACCGACGTAAAAAATATACAATATTGCAGCAATTACGAGTGTAGTCGTGTGGTAATAATACGTGAAACGATTGGCTTATTCAAACAATAATTTACCCTTTCCACCTGTAATATTCAATTTACAATTAAATGTTTATATATTCTATTAAAATGTACATCATCATCATAATTGTTTAATATTGTTTTGTGATGGTCTGGTATGATTTTTTTTTGTCTCTGAATTCGTGCGTTCTTCAATGTAATTTGTAACGTAAAGTGTTTTTAAATGACATTTTATGCATATCTTATATTTATATAGGGGCCTATTGTTTGATTTGGTTGGCTTATGTAAAAAAACAATTCAGCCATTGATTGCGAGCGAATTTTATTTTGCCACCATTTTTTTTTTATGTTTTATATTGAATAAAAGATATGGATTGGATTTATTTATTTAATTATTTGGTGTAAACACCAAGGATAGAACACGAAAGTCTAGAAGAAGACTTATTTCCAGTGGGTGGTGGTGGTGATTGGACAGTACACCGGGAGACAATTCCCTACTCTTTTCCGAAGAGTGTACTGTGTTCTTTAACGTGCACTTGGGCCATAAATGCACACGGGACCAACGGCTTAAACGGTCTCATCCGAAAGACGGTGTGCTATGTAACTTGTATTTCAGCCATCTAGCTGAAACACAAGGAGAGGCAGCGATGGGAATTGAACCGGGGACCTAGAGATCTCCACGGTTCAGCGCACACACAGTGGCTACCACCAGATTAACCGACTGAGCTAAGCTGCTCTCTCGGTTAATCTGGTTCACTGTTAAGACACCCTGATTTGTCTACGGACAACTTACAACGTGCGATCTTAGTTGTAATTTTTATTTCAACAGACTTTCTTCAATTAAGCCGGCTTCCTAGTATTTTAGTACTGTATTGCTTTCAACAAAAATGACCAGTCGAATTAAAAAAATGATGAAAACATGCCGAAAATAATAAGATATTTGCCGATACCACATTTGAGATAGCCTTTCTCCACCTGTTGTAGGCCTATACATATTGACAACTAGTTTTAAAATGATATTCTGCAATAGCCTACTAGTTAGTATTGGATTTTTTTGTCAATCAATGTTCAATGTTCAATGTAGTTTATTTAGTATATAAAGGCCATTGGCCCAAAAATACATAAATTCACTGCATATTATATACCGTATTTTCTTTTCTTATCTTATATGCTAATTGTACAAAATGAGTTAATTTAAACAAAAGTGATTGTTTATTCGTCTGCATTAGTTTCTTAAACTTAAAATCATTAGGATGTGATAAATAATAATTAGGTATTAAACGGTTTTTTAAATATTTGTATAGTGGACAAATCTGTCTCTTATACACATCTAGATGTGTATAAGAGACAGGAGTCATGCTTTGCCCTGACGTGTTATCGTACCGAATTATCAGTGCGTTTCGCAAGTGATTCACGGAATCGAGCCACGACCTTCAGATTACTCAACCCGAATCACTTGAGAATTTTTTTTTCGCATGCATTTGGGAACGTACTGAGTATTCGGTACGATAACACATCAGTTAGGGCAAAACATCACTCTTATATTATTTTCCTGACGCAAACGCATATTAAAATAATAATAATGATAACGATAACGACAATAATGATACAATTATATATTTAAAAAAATATTAATGATTATGATAATGATAATAATAATAATAATAATAATAATAATAATAATAATAATAATAATAATAATAATAATTAGGATGATGATGCTTGCGTTTAATGATGATGATGATGATAATAATAATAATACAAAATATTAGATGTATAATAACGAGCAAATGGCATTACACAGACTCAAAACGTATTGCAATATTTTAAAAGATTATCAAAAAAAAAAAGAATTTTATGTTTGACCGTCTAGCTAACATATCTACACACTAAAAATTAATTTATTTTTTTTATACATTTCTCTAAAAAAGAATAATACTGTATAAACACTAATTAACACGAAGGTGTCTTTACCTTCTCCAGAGGTAGTCTTCAACATCAAATAAATAACCTGTCAGGGAGATAATTCATTACAATATTTTAGGAGAAAGTAAAATACAGTATAAAATGGAGTCTTCAACATCATTAAATAAATAACCTGTTAGGGAGATAATTCATTACAATATTTTAGGAGAAAGTATTATACAGTATAAAATGGATAACAAAGGTAAAGGACTATCGAGCGTGTCTCCAAGGCATCATTACAAAAAAAATTGCAACATTATACGACATTGAAGTAACAATATTATTATTATTTAGGCTAGCAAACTTATAATAATATTAGTATAATAATAACAACAAAAACAATAATAATGACGATAACGATGAGGATGAGGGGATAATGATGACATCGATGATGTTGTAATGATGATAATAATAATTATGATGATGTCGATGATGATGAAATCAATGATAATGCTGATGATGATGATGGCTATGATAATAATTTTGCATCAATATTAGTACTTCTTATGTATTTGTTTGCACTTTCAACATTTCTAGCGAATGAAAATAATATTCGTCATATTATTATAAACGTATTCGCATATTTAAACGCATCTTTGTAACATTATAATTATGCACCCGACCAATATAAGGAAATTTAAAAATTCTTAAATTTATTTTTTTTTTAACCACAAAATCTAAATGAATAGGCTTATATATATATATATTATATATATAATATATATATATATATTATATATATTATATATATATTGAAAGCTGTTAACTGCATCGTCGTTGAGTAGGCCTAGTGTGAAAGATTAAATAATTTTAGTTACATTATTTGTGTATTTACTACCGTATGTATTTGAAAATTTCTATGAAAAAAACCTACCAGAATATGAACTGACAGACGCATCTTCCTTGCTTGGTTATTCAACATTGTTACTAGAAACTATCCGATTTGCTGGCAAGCATCACAAACTTAATGTGACGTTAGAGATGCATTTACCTCATTGAAAATGTTCAATCACTGTTAATAATTTGATCGATATATTCCATGAACCTTTTTAGAGAAGACCTTTCAGGTTATTGTTTGTAACTGAACAGCCAAAATTGATAATGCTTACCTAATCCACCAAATTTTTAAATTTACATATTTCATAAATATTAATGATTTCATGCTTCTTTGTTTCTGTGCTGTGAGGGTGTGAGTTGTCTTTTCTGTATTCTTCATTTACTTATTTATTATTTACTTTACTTTCAGGCAATTTACTGCCGTTAGATGCCTTTAGATATAACTCAACTACTTGATGTCGGCCTACATTATTTAAAATGTATGGAAAATATTTTGTCATGATTTATACATAGTGAATATGTAGCTATTTTTATTTTTTTTTTAAACTAAAAAGGTAATTATTATAAGTCTGTTTTCGAGATTGAAGATAAAAGCAGTTATGGACCAAGTGTGGACAAAGAGCAGACTTTATTTTTTGACCAATTACATAACAAGAATATAAAGGCCAACTCAGACAGCGTCGGCCGAGTTGAACGCAGACGCGATGGTGTGCGTCGGGGGCAGTCGCGTAGTAGAATATTAAACGTGTTTAATAATTCTCACGACGGCTTAAGACTGTCCCCGACGATAAATCGGGTCGGGCTGCGTCGGCCGACGCTGTCTGAGTTGGCCTTAACACTTCATTTAATTATAGATATCCTCTGGAGTCATTTTCGAATGACTCGAGAGGATAGCAGATTTATGATTATTATGATGATTATGATATGTTTATTATGACTATTGATAATATGTTCAGAAATATATATTTAATAAAAAGTATAATATTGAAATGAGGTTAAACATAAAATTAATTTTTTTATTTATGACATTTAATATTTAATTTGATAATGACTTTTATAATAAAAAAAATACTGTACATGTAATTGATTTGAATATGTGATAGGCCGAAGTTTTTTTTTTTTGTTTTGTTTTTTTTAAATTTTGAATAAAGATGTGCTACCCACACAAAAGAGAAAAAAATTATAGGTAGAAAATATAATTCAACATTGTCAAATTATACTTGGTGTTTTCGGGATTGTATTGTAAATCTAACACATAAAGAATGTAAAAGGTTAGTATCATTCACAATCCATCTCAAATCTGAAAATAAATTATGAGTTTGGTAAATCATTTATATGAAAGAAAGCATAATAGCACAAAGCTTCAGTCCATTCAGCCCTAGTCGATAAGTAATTTAGAGACACATTTATTAAAGCAAACAAGCTCAAACTTAATACGGTACAGTACTGAAATTATCAAAAGCCAAAGTAAAGGCTCAACCTTCATACAATAACAGGCCTATGTAACTCTGAAATTAACGTATAATTATTGATAGTATCAAACGCGTTTTCACACACACACCCACACCCCCCCCCCCCCCCCCCCCCCCACACACACACACACACACACACACACACACACACACACACACTATCATCAATTTACATTGAACTTGATAGTGAAATTCTAATGCTATGCGCTTTCAACATTATGTCCAATAGAAGTTGAATAAAAGAAACCAATAAGATGAAGAATATGAAGAAGAGAACAATAAAACCATCAACATAAAATAAAAGTGTACTGTATAGGCCTATGCCTATTTATCACCTGAGCCATTTATTTTATTAAAGCGTAAGATATTCTACAGATCATATACAGTCACTTTTTACAAAATCTAGGGAAAATAACATTGTATATATCATCTAAACCAACCCGATAGAACAAACGTACGGTACACATTGACGGTTGTTCGAGTTGTACGTTTGCTTTGGTGAACGAATCGTGAATAAACTTAATATCAAATCCAGGCTCATTCAAAAGAGCGAGAGCGGTAATAATGGACCTTTCAGCTAAGCCCTGATCTTTAAATTATTGTTGCTAAGGGGTGGAAACCGCGAAAATCTACGTGTTTGTAGGACAACCACTGAAACCTGACTATACTAAATTACACATTCTGATTGGTCAGATGTTAAGTTTGAATGAGACTCCGGAATGGTTCATTATAGGTAACCAATAGAGGGTGGTATATAGCATTTTCTCTATCAAAATATTGTTACACTTTTTTTTTTTATAAGAACCAGTAAAATTTTGCCCAGGCTCAGTGTTCTTATTTTTTG